ACCATTCAACATTCTCAAAGGACTAGAACTGATCCAAGTAAGTTTCTAATCCCTGTTAGTGATTAATGGTTGCAAGGATTTCAGCATCATCTATGCTGATTTACAAGCTAGGATGCAAGATGTTCCTTCCTTTTCTCTCCATAAAGGCTATTTATTTTAAACACTTGTTTATGTCTGCCAAATAGGTCATTTTGGTAGAGATAAGACAATTGCTATGGTAGAAGATAGGTTTTACTGGCTTATAATGAAAAATGAAGTTGCCCATATTATAAAGTAAAGAAAGACATGCCAATTTGCCAAAGGAATGTAACACTAGGCTATATATACCTTTGTTAATTCCTCATAAACCATGGCAAGATTTATCCTGAATTTTGTCCTTGGACTGCCCAAGACTGCTAGGGATCATGATACCATATATGTTGTGGTAGATTGTTCCTCCAAAATGAGTGTGGTGAGTCAATATATGCACAAGCCTAGAACATCACATATGCAAGAAGTAAATAGGATTTTCTCCTATCTAAAAGGATGCCCAAGCAAGGTGATATTATATCCTAAGCATGGGCATCTCAAGGTGTGATACAGACAAAAAGCAAGATATAAGTAGCACTTCAAGTGTACAGCAATAAATACAACAATATCAAGCTAAAAACAACGAATAGTTGAATTCTTAGGAATTTCAGATCTAAACCTAAAGCAGAACTCCTCCTCAAACAGTTCTGCTACAATAATAATGGTGTCAAGCTGGCCTCTCACGCGGACACATAGCGGTAGAGGGATTGAAAGACACCAAATGGATCGGCTCCTCAAAACCTAAGCTCCCGATACTTGAAAGCCCTAGTTGGGGCTGAGCTACAGCTCAAATAAGAGAAAGAACATAAAAACACCCCCATAGAAATAACCCCCTTCTCTTTTCTAAGACCCAATGGGCTAGAGAAGCCAACTAAAATATTTACACATAAGCCCCCCCAAAATATAACTTTTGTTACAAAAACACCAAAGAGATCAAAACTCAACAAATGCACACCCAATTGCCTCTTCCAGAATTTGAATTATGAAATGATGAAAATGCCCCTAGACCTAAATTGACTACAACGCTTCCCAAGAAAACTATTTGAGGATCCTACTACAAAAACAAACTCAAAACATATTCACATCATTTTTTTCTTTATACATTTTCCCTCTTTTTTTTTTGGGCTTGTCATTCCCGCTAGGCTAAAAAGAGCTCAACCCCGTGTGACCACTAGTGTTAGCAACTTTGCACATATCTCCATCTAGCTTAATAAAATTTTCTTCACTAATCCAAGAGTTCTCAATTGTTGGTTTCCCTTTCCACTTGACCAAGAACCTAAAATAGGCCCCATTTCGAATGTTGGTGACTTGAACATCTTCTACACCTACTTGCTCAAATTCATTAGAACTATTGGCCCTTTGCAGTGTGCATTTGTCCTTGATCAATTTTTGTTGCTAGTTCTAGACCTCCATGGTAATCAAAAAGGTATGCTACATTAAAAATAGATGAAATGGACAAACCAGCAAGTAGTTCAATTTCATGTGCATTATCCCCAAGCTGTCTTAACACTTTGACATTGACTAATTTTTTCTGCTTCATTTTGTTGTAAGCCCCAACAAGAAACCGCTTAGGCCACAAATAAACCATGACTAGGTCACCCTTATGAAACTCTTTCACTCAAAAGGAGTCTTCCCTGTAGATCTATTAACTAAATCTTTTAAGGAAAACTCAACTTGTGGTAGGATAAGATCTCATTACTTCAAGTAATCTCCAATTTAACTCCTCAACAGGTTTCCCTAGCTTCAATTAACCACTTCAGTTTGCCCATCTATTTGTGGATGAAATGTACTACAATACTCATATACTTCCATAAAGTTCTCAAAAAAGTGGCTAAGGAATCTTGTGTCACAATTTAATGTGATGGATCTTGGCAAAGCATGCAAAAAACAACTTTTTTGAAAAACAATAGCTATATGAGAAGCATCAGAAGTCTTTTGGCAACCAATAAAGTGAGCCATTTTAGAGGAACAATCAACTAGAACAAAAATAGAATCATTAATTGTTCTTGGCAACTCCAACACAAAATCCATAGTAATAATTTTTTTGAAAATAAATAAAAAATAAAATTCATTAGAAAGAAAGAAGGAATATAAACAAATATGATAAAAAAACCCCCCAAAGAGAAAGAAAAAGCCACCCCGGAAGCAACCTCATAGAATAAAAATATAAACCCCCTACATTTTGAAACTTAGAACTCACTCTACACAATTGGAATTCTTCTCACACCCATACTCTCCTACCTCCAAAATTGGCAATTATTTTCTTCAGATTTTCTAAAGACCTTTCTTACTCCTCACCCCCTATGAAAAAAAAATCCCCAATATTTTACTCACCTCCACCTCCTTGTTAACAAACTCTTCCAAGTCTACCCTCCTTTGAACAGCATAAGTTTTGTTCACTTCCACTTCCTTAACCCTGCTTGTTGTATATGTGGATGATATTTTAGTGACAGGGAGTGATAACAGTGAGATTGAGTCTCTTAAGCAACTCCTTCATCAAGAGTTTGAGGTAAAAGATCTGAGAGAGCTACAATACTTCTTGGGTATTGAGGTAGCTAGGTCCAAACATGGGATTTTTGTTTCTCAAAAAAAGTACATTCTTGATTTGTTGGAAGAAACTAGAAAGTTGGGTGTTAAGCCTGCTGACACACCTATTGAACAGAATCACAAGATCAATGCAGAGGGTGGAGAGCCCCTTGAAGATAAAGCTATGTTCTGGCAAGTGAATGGTCCAATTCACACTTCAATAATAGTCCAATTCCTTCCAGATTGATGTTAAGTCTAAGTAATACACCAAGAGACTCCTCTCCCTCTACTTGCAAGTGGAGGATTCAACTTGCAATTGGTATATCTTTGCATAATGCTTCTGCTCCAAATAGGTAAATTTTGCTTGCTCCCATATTTCACAAATTGTTTCAGCCCACATAAATGTTTTCCTTACTTGTGGCAACATGGAAACTAAGAGCCACAACATCACCATACTATTCTCTTGGTTCCACCTGTCATGTCCAGCACTTTCAGCCTTTGGTTCCTTCACTTTACCATTAATATAGCCTATCTTCCCCTAACAGTAATGTAGAGTTTAATTCCCCTGAACCATTCAAGGTAATTTAGTCCATCAAAGGGAATTACAACCATGGGGAAACTCATATCCAGCCCTCCACCCATTCCAATTTGACTTCCAGAAACCCAAGAAGTTGCAGAATTCTTAGAAGACATGGTTCAGTTCACTATTCAGCCTCAACACACACCCTAAGATCCCTCCTAACACCAAAAACAGTCCTAGAAACACACCAAAGATGCAAACCACATGCACACTGCAATCTGGACAGTCTGAATACAGACCAGCTTTAATTCTCCAAAATAAAAATTATTAAGTTGATTTTAGTGCTGTATTGCCTTAACAGTCACAATCCACCAAACTTCCAAACCATCCAAACACACCGACTACTAGGAGGGGTCATAAAACAGTGCCATCACACCAAAAGGTTAAGAAAAAGGTCATCCACAACCTAAAGGTGTTCTATTTTCAGGTACAAGATCACACGATCCATAGAAAAAGAGGTTAGAACCTCACAACTTCTCTGACAGCATTCAGTAGCCACGATTCATTGGTATTTTCTTGGTACACGAACAAGAGAAAAGGAGAAGGAATAAAAATAAATTGTATCAATCATAGATTGTCTTTTCTTACTTCAATCTGGAGAACACAAAAAGATGGAGAAGAAAAAACTTGTTCGATCTGGTCTCAAACCCAGTAGAACCGCTCTGATACCATATTAACAGAGAAAGAATAGAACAAATAGGAAGAAGAAGAAAAGAGAGAGAGAGAGAGAGAGAGAGAGAGAAGAGAAAGATGAGAGAAGAGAAGAGAGTTTTTGGAGAGAGTATCAGTACTGGCGGCGCCAGAATATTTTATTATATAGGGCATCACTTAAAAGAAGGGAAAAAACCCTTATGCCTCTGTGGTGCTTACAGTGTATAAACAATATAAAGCTGAATATAAAACTGAACTATTTTAACATAGTAAACAGAATAATAAACTAAACTATTCCAACAGAAGCCATATTTCTTTTGAGACCATTGATAGAAAAGTTCAATGAGAAGAAGAAAGCTCTCCATATAGTGTTCATTGATCTAGAAAAAGCATATGATATAGTTCCTAGAGGGATATTATGGTGGGTCTTGGAAAAGAAAGGGGTTCAAATTAGGTACATAGACCTAACTAAGGATATGTATGAGGGGGCAACAACCAATGTTAGAACACTAGTGGGAGAGACCTCAAATTTTACAGCTACTATGGGTCTTCACCAAGGTTCAGCACTTGGCCCTTATTTCTTTACATTGATCCTAGATGAATTGACTAAACATATTCAGGAGGAAGTTCCATGGTGCTTGTTGTTTGCAGATGACATTGTTTTAATTGATGAAACTAATGAAGGATTAAATGAAAAATTAAGCCATGGACAAATGCCTTAGAAACAAGAAGCTTTCAAATAAGGACAAACAGAATATATGACATGTAAATTTAGTACTAATAGGAGTGTAAATCAAGATACACTTGGGATTGGAGACCAAGAAATAACTCAATGCGACCATTTCCAGTACCTTGGTTCAATAATTCATAACAAGGGAGAGATTGCAGAGGATGTCACCCAAGGACGGAGGGTGCATCTAGACTAAAAGGAAGATTCTATAAAACAGTTGTAAGGCCAGCTATGTTGGATGGAACTAAGTGTTGGGCAGTCAAGGAACAACATGTCCAAAAAATGAGTGTGGCAAAATGTGAATGCTAAGATGGATGAGCCTTAAACTTTTTAAAACATTAATTATTAATTTGTCAATAACAACCATGATAAATGCAAACTAATAATGCCACAAACAAAACAGAGCTAACAATTAGAGGCTTGGAATAAACTAAAGTGACATACATATCACAAAGAGCATGAATAGGAGAAGGAATGAAACAAAGCACCGGTCTCGTAACTTTCTCCATCGAAAGCATCGATTATCATGTTTCCGTGGGTTCTGATTTGTTATGGCTCCACACCACCCACACTTGAAAACAGGTGCATATGATGGAAGAAGAAGCCGCAATCCACAACCCCAACACACTGTCTCATAATCCTCAGGAAATGATATTGCATAATTCTCATCCTACATATGATCAATGAAAGATTAAGAAAAATATGAAACAATGTTGTCAAATTAGGTACAAGTGTAAGAAAATACATAATCAGAATAAAGTCTCAATTCTTATTAAAATTGCACATACAATAAGTATTATTTCAACCACAAGAAAACCTAAGTATATAGTTTTCAATTCCTCAGGTTACAAATTATTGTTTAAGATGTATGGAGATGCTAGCTGACTCAGCTGGTAATATGTCCTACTTGTTACAGCAGAGATGTAGGACAGGGTAGGAGTCCTACTAATTTTAGATCTAGTGGTGGGCTTTGTAGAGTGAATAACAGGCTATAAGTGATCAGGGTTGAAGAATGGAGATGGAAAAACAAGTAGACACCTTGCCATCCATGGAAGAATGAGCAAAGTATTAGAAGAGAAGTCTTTTAGTTACGATAAACAGCAATAGGTCACTTGGATCTAAATTCAATACTTTTAACAATATAAAACCCATGTTTTTTTAAAACCAACCCAAGATCAAAACCATTCTTCCACCCAAATGGTGAGTAAAAAATTTAAGCATGCATCTAGGTCAAATAGATCAATCCATGATATCATATAGTTAAACAAAAATTTTAGATAGAAATAAATACACATGATGTAGGAACCCTTGCCTATTTAACACCACAGCCAGGTGTTGCCATGGCGGGTCACTTACAAGAACCATCCTAGCAAACCCTTGCCCACTTAACAGTTAACACTACACTTGGGTTAGAGTGCAGTGCGTCATTTCTAGAGAACGCCCTAGCATGAACAAAAAAAAGACAAATCAAGATATTCATGAGAGTTTGGCAAAAGTTTTAGTGTCAGCTACTAACCTATAAAACCCTCCTCCTTTATTTGTGTTGGGACCGATAGTGTAAGACCTCACACAAGGGGAGTTACAAAAATAAATGTATATAGAAAAATTGGACATGTCTCTAATGTTTTCTATTAATCATATTAAAAAAATAAGTATGATAAACAATAATTGTTTTTATTAATGGTGGAAAATGAATTACAAAATTTACAACCAACCCAAAACCGAAATTGTTTTCCTATTCGATGGTGGGTCAACAATTCAACCTTTTGGGTTAAATGTGTTAACAATTGATATTGTAATTAAATAATAAAAATTAAAATATATATATAAACACAAAGAAGTTATAAATAAATACATAAGTTTTATAGAAAATATTTGAGTACATCTCTAATATTTTATCATATTAAAGACAAAAGTAGAAATCTGCAAAAATAAAAACTTCTTTGGTTGTCACCCTTTCTCTTAGGAAGTGTTTATCAACTTCAATGTACTTTGTCCTGTCATGCTAAACTAGATTGTGGACAATATTGATTGCAGGTTGCAGCTTAAATCATAATGCAACATCATGGGCTCCTCTAGATCTACCCCAATCTCACTTGGCAAGGATCTAACCCAAAGTAATTTTGAGACACCATTGGCCATAGATCTATATTGGCTTCTGCACTTGACCTTGCCACAACTGACTGTCTTTTATTTTTCCATGAAACTAGATTTCCTCCCACATAGGTGCATACCCTTGATGTGGATATTCTGTCATCTAGACACCCTACCCAATCTGCATCTGTATAGGATTGCAGCTTCAAATTCCCATGACCTGAGAATAAAATCCCTACCTGGATGTTTCTTCAAGTATGCAAGTATTCGATCAATGGCTTCCCAGTGTTGAACCTAAGGAGCATGTATATACTAACTCACAACACTCGTAGCATAGGAAATGTCTGAGCGTGTCATGAATAGATATAGTAGCCAACCCACCATCCTCTGATATCTCCCCACATCCTTAACCAACTCATCATCCAAAGCATTAATCTTGTGGTTCGGATCACTAGGAGTATTAGCTGATTTAACTCCTAGCTTCCCAGTTTCTTGCAGTAAGTCCAATACATACTTCCTCTAAGAGATGAATATCCTATGCTTAGATCTTGCAACCTCGATCCCCTAGAAAATGTTTCAGTTCACCTAGATCCTTAATCTTAAATTCTTATTGTAGTAACTTCTTGAGTGCATCAATCTCCTTCTAATCATTTCTTGCAACAACTGTCATCCACATATACAACCAATACTAACACCAATGATTCTCTCCTCTTCACAAAAAAAGTATGATTTGACTAGGTTTGTGTGTATCCAAATTCCAAAACAGATCAATGCTCCTCTAAACTTGTTAAACCATGCCCTAAGTGACTATTTCAAACCATATAATGATTTCTTTAGCATACAAGCTTTTCCTTCACCAACATTTTCATAGAAACAAGCTAAAAGGTCCATATATACCTCTAACAAATCACCATTAAGGAAAGTCTCCATCTCTTCTACTGGAGTCAACCCTCTTGCATTGGCACTGAAAGAACTGTAAGACAGTTCGTAGTGGATTAGGCAATGGGACTAGAGCTGATGGTGAAGTTGATGGTGGAGCAACAGGTGGAACTGATGGTGGAATTGATGGGCCAATGGAGGAACAGGAAGAGGAACAGACTGAGAGCCTCCCCCCCCCCCCAAAAAAAACACTCCCCTAGACACTAGATCATAACAACAACTCCCATAGTGACAAACTTGCTCTCCAACACTGGATCATAACAATAACACCCCTTTTAGTTTTGAGCATACCCGAGAAAAACACATTTCTTGGCCTTATGATCCAACTTCCTACAATGAGGACCAAGAATGTAAACAAAAACAAACACACCCAAAAACTCTCAAAGATATATGAAAAATCTCATCATCTAGAAATAAAGGGTTGAATGGCACCTTGAACCCCAAGATGCATGAAGAAACACAATTGATCAAATACACAACCGTGAGAATTGCATCCCCCCAAAACCGAACAAGAACTGAAGCACACACCATAAAACTTCTTGCCACCTCCACAGTGTCTATTTTTTCTCTCTGTTACAATGTATAGGCACTACTACTTTGATGAATCACACTCCATGTTCCAACTTCCAAAAAATATGTAGCCAAATCATTCTCAAAATATTCTCTAGCATTGTCTACTCTGAAAATCCTAGTCCTCTCTCCAAACTGTGTGAGAACAAAAGCATGATCCCTACATATAAGAACAAAGTTGTAATAACTATCAAGGTATTAAATTTATGAACCACACTATGAAACTTTAGGAGAAAATAATTGAACAAAAATTACAACTTAAAACACGTATATCAAAGAACCAATTTGACTTTATGCCAGGAAGATCAACCATGAAAGCTATATTTCTTTTGAGGCCATTGATAGAAAAGTTCAAAGAGAAGAGAGATCTTCATATGGTGTACATTAATCTAGAAAAGGCATATGACAGAGTTCCTAAAGAGGTATTATGGTTGGTCTTGGAAAAGAAAGGGATTCAATAGGTATATAGACCTAATTAAGGATATGTATGAGGGGGCAACAACCAACGTTAGAACACCAGTGGGGGAGACTTCAAATTTTATTGTTACTATGGTTCTTCATCAAGGTTCAGCACTTAGCCCTTATCTCTTTGCATTGATCCTAGATGAATTGACTAAACAGATTCAGGAGGAAGTTCCATCGTGCATGTTGTTTGCATTGTCTTAATTGGTGAAACTAATGAAGGATTAAATGCAAAATTAAGTTTATGGACAAATGCCTTAGAAACAATAGGCTTTAAAATAAGTAGGACTAAAACAGAGTATATGACATACAAATTTAGTACTAATATGAGTGTAAATCAAGATATACTTAGGATTAGAGACCAAGAAATTACTCAATGTGACCATTTCTAGTACCTTGATTCAATAATTCATAATAAGGGAGAGATTGAAGAGGATGTCACCCAAAGAATTAAAGCAGGACAGGAAAAATGAAGGGGTGCATCTAGACTATTATGTGATAGGAGAATACCACTTAGACCAAAACAAAAATTCTATAAAACAGTTGTAAGGCTAGCTATGTTGTATGGAGTAGAGCGTTGGGCAGTCAAGAAACATGTCCAAAAACCGAGTGTGGAAAAAGTATGAATGCTAAGATGGATGAGCGGAAAATCTAGAAAGGATAGGATTAGAAATGAAGTCATCCATAAGAACCTAGGAGTAACCCCAATAGGTGATAAAATGAGAGGAAATAGACTAAGATTCCGTCATGTGCATAGAAGAACATCAACAGAACTAGTTAGAAGAAGTGATTTGTTACATGTTAAAGGGGCTAGAAGGGCTAGAGACATGGGTAGAAGTAGTAAGAAATGATTTAAGCACTAATAATTTAACCAATGTTTTAAAACGCGGAGGCGTAACGCGAGGCATTCCACTACCTAGAGGTGTGAGGCGTAGTTCAAAACGTAAGAGGCCCTCCCGAACACAAGGAGGCGTAAGCCTCCTTAAGAGGAGTGCATGAGGCATATGAAGCATAAGCCTCCTTTCCTTTTTTTCTTTTTTTTCTTGCTTTTTTCTTTTTTTTTTTGGTCTTTTTACATGAGTGTGTTGTTGGGTTTAGTTTTATTTTTGCTGTTAGAGTGCTGTCAACATGTTCTTTCTTTGTTTAAGTTTTTTATTATTAGGGTGTGCCGCCAATGGCATATTTGTAATTCCCTTTTTATTTTTACAGCATGTTATTATAAATTAGAAGTTGGGCACCACCAGCCCAACCTTTTGACTTCCACACACTTTTTTTTATAGGAAACAGTAACTTTCATTAGAGAATTGAAAAGATTACAGGCTTACCACCCACAAAATGGATGGAAAAAGAAAATTAAAAAATTGCAAACATGCCCAAAACAAAGCCTCCCTAGTAACTCTTTGCTTGGCTAAAGTGTCAACCATTCCATTTGCTGACCTTCTTACCCATTTAAAATGCACCCCAATCTCCCTTGCTAAGCTAATAATCTCTCTTAGAGGTTGTCTAAGAGACCACACTCCCAGGTTTCCAGCTTGCATCCACCCTATTACCAGCTTGGAGTCTCCTTCCACTTCTAATTGCTGCATTCCCCATTATTTTTCCAGT